TAAAACATTGCTAAGAGAAATTAAGAAGAATGAATTTCGTTTCTTTATTATTTATTAATGTTTATAGTAATGTTAATATATATAATAAATTTCTAAAAAGTTTTAATTTCTTTAAAGCAATTAAAGAAAACCTCCCCAAATTTGGACATAGTTTTCCAAAGTTAATTGTATCATTTTACACCAGCAGTATAGGAGAGTTCTAGTTGCTCCATGTGTTTGGTATGATTACTCTTTTTAAATTTATTATGGTTTAAATTTGCATTTTCTTAATAACTAATGATGCTGAGCATCTTTTCATGTATTTGTCATCCATGTATCTTCTTTGGTGAAATGTCAGACCTTTTGCCCATTTAAAAAAAAATTGAGTTGTTTATCTTCTTATTTAGTTGTGGGAGTCCTGTCTATATCCCACACGTGTCTTTTGTCAGATAAACGTTTTGCAGATATTTTCTCCCAGGCTTTGGCTTGTCCTTTTCTTTTTTGTAGCAGTGTCTTTTGAAAAGCAATAGTTTTTAATTTTATTGAAATCAATTTATTTATTTTTTTTAATTTATAATTTTCCTTTTGTATTCTTAATAGATTTTATTTTATTCTGTTTAGTTTAGATCTGTGATCCATTCTGAGTTAATTTTTGTATATGTTGCACGGTAAGGGTTGAGGTTCTTTTCTTTTGGCATTTGGGTCTTCAGTTGTTTTTTTCAGCACCATTTGCTCAAAAAATTATCTTTTCCCTCTTGGCACCTTTTGTTAAAAAAATTGACCATATGTTTGGTTCATTTCTTGACTCTGTTCTGTTTCATTGATCTTTTTATTTGCCTGTCTTTCTTCCAATACCACAACTGCTTTGAGTACTGTAGCTTTTATAATAAGTCTTGAAAGCAGGTAGTGTAGGTATTCCAACTTTGTTCCTTCTTTTCAAAATTGGTTTGGCTATTCTAGGTCCTTTATGTTTCCATATAAATTTTAGAATAAGGTTTCCACTGGTATTTACAGTGGGATTGCATCAAATCTATAGATCAATTTGGTGAGAATTGACATTGTACTAAGTCTTCTAATCCATGAATGCAGTATATCTCTGCATTTAAATTTTCTTTATTTTCTCTTGGCAAGGTTTGTAATCTTCTCTGTACAAATCTTGCATATCTTTTGTCAAATTTATCCATAAGCACTTCCTATTTTTTGATGCTATTGTAGATGATATTTTTTAAAAGTTCAATTTCTAATTGGTTGTTGCTGTTATATAGAAATACCATTGATTTTTGTATATTGACTTTGTCTCTGCAACCTTGCTGAATTAACTTCTTAGTTCTAGTAGGTTTTTCTGCGGATTCCGTAGTATTATCTATATAGTCAGTCATATCGTCTGTGGATAAAGACAGTTTTATATTCTTCCTTTCTAATATGTATGCTTTTTATTGTATTTTTCTTGCTTGATTGTATTGCTAGGATATCTAGTTCAATGTTGAATAGAAGTGATGAGAGCAGACATTCTTGCCTTGTTTCTGATCGTAGGGGGAAAATAGCCTTTCACCACTAAATATGATGTTAGCTGTAGGTTTTTCATATGTGCGGTTTATTGGATTAAGGAAGTTAGTTCCCTTCCATTGCTAGATTCCTGAGAATTTTTATCGGGAATGGATGTTGAATTTTGTCAAATGCTTTTTTTGTATCTATTGAGATTGTCGTATAGTTTTCTTATTGTAGTCTGTTAACTTGGAGTATTATATTGATTGATGTTTGAATGTTAAATCAGTCTTACATTCCTGGGATAAATCCCAATTGGTTATGATATATTGTCCTTTGTATATGTCATTGTTATATATCGTTGTTACATACTGCTAAGAATTTTTGCATCTGTGTTCATTAGGGATATTGGTTTGTGCCTTTCTTCTTTTATGATGTCTTTGTCTGGCTTTGTCCCATAAGAATTTTCTTATAGAGTAGATTTTCTGATAGAATGGAATTTTTGAGGGAAGAATTTGAATAGAAATAGTATTTTTTTTTCCATAAATGTTTGATAGAATTCACCAGTGAAGACATCTTTGTGGAGTTTTCTTTTGGGAGGGGTTTTTCCCTTTACTTATTTATTTTTTGGGGGGACTGACTTTTTCTGATACTTTATTATTAGAAGTTGAAATAATTTTACAATAAATTTTCATGTGCTCACGTACTAGCTATATTTGCTTTATCACTTATCTATCCGTTTATTTTCCCTTCTATCCATGCATCAATCTACCTGTTTTTGATGCATTTCAAAATAATTTGTAGACAACTGGATATTTCACTCCTAAACACATTCCCATGCATAATTTATGTTTAATATTTTTACAGTTTTTTTTATTTCTTGAGGTAAAATTTTAATACACTTAAATGCATGTCTCGTGTACCATTCAATGAATTTTGACAAGTGCATATACTTGTGTAACCCAAATCCCTTTTAAGATAAAGATCGTTACCATTACCCATCAAGTTCTCCCATACTTTTCTCAGACAGTCTCAGCCCACACCCCTGAGGCAAGTACTGTTCTGATTTCCATCCATAACTAGTTTTGCTTGTTCTATAACTTCCTAGAAATGGAATCATATAGTATTTTTGTGTGTGTGTGTGTGTGAGACTTCTTTCACTTGGCATACAGTTTTTGAGATCAGTATTGTTACGTGTATCAGTAGTTCTTTCTTTTTAATATTTTATAGTGTAACTTAATTTCATTGTGGTCAGAGAACATGTTCTGTATGATGCCATATTCTTGCTTTATCCCCTGTTACATGGTCAGTTTTCATAAATGTCATTAGTGTTCCTGAGAAGAATGAGTATTTTCTTTTTGTTGGTTTTATGTTTCTTTATCTGTCCTTTGAATCAACCTCATTAGTCATGCTGTTGGTTTCTTCTTAATTCTTTAAAAAATCTATTGGTTTATGTCTATACTGTTCTTCATATTTTAAAGTTATTTTAAAATTTAAATATAACAAAATTGATTCCTTATGGTGTACAGCTTTGTGAGTTTTGACAAATGCGTACTACATTTGGGTCTCCACACCACAATCAAGATGCACGACAGTCCCATTAACCCTAAAAATACCCTCATGTTACCCCATTGTTAGTCAACCCTTCCTCCCACCCCCTATCACTGGAAATCACTGATTTGTTTTGCATCTCTCTAGTTTTGCCTTTTCCTAAATGTCATATAAATGGAATCAGACAGCTTGTAGCCTTTTGAATATGACTTATTTCACTTAGCAGTATGCATTGAGATTCATCTATGTTGTTGTATATACTAATAGTTGTTTCTTTTTATTGCTGAGTAGTATTCCATTGTATGAATGTACCATAGTTTGTTTCTCCAAGGACATTTGAGTTGTTTCCAGTTTTTGGCGATTAGGAATGAAACTACTCTAAACATTGGCATACAGGTTTTGGTGTGAACCTAAGCTTTCATTCTCTTGGACAAATAACCTAGGAGTGGGATTGCTAGGTTTTATCTAAGTGTAGCTTTAGCTTTATGCAATATGGGAGGTTTTTAACTATAGATTCTATTTCTTTAATTCTGTTTAGGTTATTGATTTCTTCTTGGGAGAGCTCTGGTAGTTTTTGTCTTTCAAAGAATTTACCCATGTAATCTGTTGAATTTATAGGCATAAAATTATTCCCCAACTCCCCTGATTGTCCTTAATATCTGTAGAATATAGTGAAGTCACCTCTCTTCTTAATATTTGAAATTTGAATCTTCTTTTTTCCTGATCACTTTGGCTGGAGGTTTATCAATTTTATAGATCTTCTCAAAGAACTAGTTTTTGATTTCATTGATTTTTGGCTATTGATTTTCTGTTTTCTATTTAGTTGACTTCCACTCTCATCTTTATTATTGCTTTCTGCTTACTTTGGATTTAATACTTCGGGTTTAACGTAATACAGAAAAAAAATTTTTTCTTTCTGGAAGTTAATTGACAGATTTTGAAACTCTGTACTCCATCCAGATTTTCTGTGTGTGTGTATTTGGTATTTAGGTGAGAACAAAAGACTTTTGTTAATAGCAAGATTTCAGAGAGAATGAAATTGGTACTGCTATTAATTTGTATGACGACCATAGGATTTTCTTTTTGTTTTGAATATTGATTTTTCTGCCTGTTCATCTTACATCTGTTTCAAACTCTGAATGAAATATATCTGTAAATTATGAAAGTACTTGAAATTCCCATGACAAGCCTGTGAAATATACCACATACAGAGCTATCAGAGTTAAATTTGTGGCATCATTTAAGTGGGGCAAATTACTGTCCTGAGGAATACAATTTTATTCTTGTCTCTAATCTCAGCAGTCATTTAACCTAAAGGACTATGTAATGTTTACTTGAACTCAGAATGTAAAACATTTAAATCCCCAGGTCTCCCCAGATGAGTAACCTTTAACTAAGATAGAAGGCAATTTTGAGGTTGTTTTCACTTGGTGTGTTTTGGTACATGAGACTAAGAAATTGCTGTAATGGATGGAGTGGAATTTGTATTACTCTTTTAGCTTGTCTTCCAAAGCCGGAATTAAAATCAAGGAAATAAATTGCTCTACTGTTGGAGCATTCTATTTAAATATTAAAGCAGATTTGATTTCCTTTGTAAATAGAAGTAATTTTATTTTTTAGAGAGATAAAATTGGCCTGAAAATTAGTTTCTTTTTTTAATTTTTTTTCCCCCCAAAGCCCCAGTAGATAGTTGTATGTCATAGTTGCAGTATGTGGGACGTGGCCTCAGCGTGGCCTGAGAAGCGGTGCGTCGGTTCGCACCTGGGATCCGAACCCTGGCCGCCAGCAGGCGCGCACTTAACCGATAAGCCACGGGGCCGGCCCAGTTCGTTTCTTTTTTAAATGTTTATTTCTTATGTATCTGCAATAAGAAATGTAGGTGTTAGAAATTAGAGTATTGATGGAGGGATGTAATATTTATAGAACTGCATGAAAATTATTTTGTTTACTTTTCTAATTGTTTAATGTTACATTTTATCTTTTAGATCCTATTTGACCAAACTCAGAGATCAATTAAGGCACAGCTTCAGAACTTTGTTAAAGAGTAAGTCAATTGCAGTGGAGAGGAAAGAAAAGCAACCAGTTAATGATCACATCTGGGAGTTGGTATCTTTTGAGAGAAATTATGGACCATGAATTACTGAAAATATTAGAGTTTTTGTTTGCTTTGTGAAATGTATTTTGCATTTCTTCCTGAATTACTCAGACTTCATGCTTTTCAGTGAATCATTTATAGTGTGAAATATGTGTTTAGGGTACATAACTAGAATTGTTATAGATTACAAAAAATTTTTTAATGTGAATAAATAATCTAATGACCTTTTAAAATCAAAGAAAATCACAAAAGTGGTTGAAATACTATCAGTTATTGTAGTTGAAGCTAAGTTTTTCATTGTCTCAATATGGTATTTTCTTTGAAGAGAGGAAAATGTAATACATGAGAATCAGGAATGAAAGTTCTTGCTTCTTGCTACATATGAGCCTTTTGTGTCACATTCATCACATTTTTTAGGTGAAATAAAATGAAACTAGAAATAAAAATATCTGAACTTTCCAGGTAGGAAAGTTTTTCTTTTCCACATAAATAATTCAGCTTTTCTCTTTTATTCTTGACTGAGAATATATAAAATTACAGATAACGTTGACTATGATACAGTATTCAGGATAAATTATAGATGTTATAAGCTATAAATAGTGGCAGATCTCATGAATATAATGCACTGCCATTTTAGTAGGTTAGAAATTGTTGTCCTGGAGGTGATGTCTTGCAGATTCTTTATAAATTTCATCATAATACACTAACATTCAAAATGTCCTTATAGAATGTATACATGAAAATTTATGGCTTCTTAAAAGAATTTAAAATCTTTCTTAGGTATACTTTATTATTATTTTTAAAAAAATTATTTGTCTTGAAGTTATTTTGTTTAGTTCCCTGATAGAAAAAGTAAAAGCAAAGGGATGGTACGTGCTTACCTAAGATCATTCATGAATCAAGGGTTTCAGATTTTCACACTATTGAAATGGATACTATTACCCTTTACTGGTGCATAGTTCTTTTGGAAAGCATTACGTGTTTGTGTTTTAAGAATCTATTCATACCCTTTGGCCCAGTAGTTCCCTTCAACAAGAAATTAATGTTGTTTCTTAAAGTGTGGTCTGTGGACCACCCATAGCAGTAAAATTAAGGGTATATCTTAAGAAATCCTCAGATTCTAAGACTTATTCCAAAGACTAATGAATTGTAATCTCTGGGAGAGCAGCCTTGGAATTTGCATTTTTAACAAGTTCCCTATGGTGATGCTTATGTATGCTGCTGTTTAAAAAATCATTTGGTTAAATAAAGGCGCATGTCCCTGGATTTGTCTTTTGAAAAAAATAAACTTTGCTTTTTATGTTCTGTAATGTTAATTTGATAATTTATTTTCACCTCAACTTTTATAGATTTAAGTAAAGAATTGCTAGCTGACTACGTCAGAAATAATATGGAATTGAAAAACAATATATATTTTAGTTGGAAGAGCTATTGAGTGTCATTGCACGGTGAATCAAATAAATTGAGGATCATAAGATTTAAATTCTAAAGGTTATTTTGCTAAAGTTTTTGATCAATAAAGTTTCGTTGCTTTTATTTTTTAGAGATCTTAGAAAATTCAAAGATGCCAAGAAGCAATTTGAAAAAGTCAGTGAAGAAAAAGAAAATGCATTAGTAAAAAATGCTCAAGTACAAAGAAACAAACAGCATGAAGTTGAAGAAGCCACAAACATTTTGACAGCAACAAGAAAATGTTTTCGACACATAGCCCTGGACTACGTACTTCAGGTATATTTATTATATATTTTCAAAAAATGCTTACTAAACATGTCATTACTTTTGAGTGATTGCACTGAAAAGAATAAGTAATGAATTTATTATTAAACTCAATAAATAAAAATAAATATCTTTCTGTGTATGTACATACGTGTGTGTGGATGCATATACCTTTGGTTCTGATTTTTTCCCTTTTTCATTTAACATTATACTTTCCCCAATTTTTAAATGTGGTAAAAAGCATTTTTAATTGCTGTATTTTATTCTATGGAGTTACTGTGTGAATTTAATTGATGTCCAATTATCAGACGTTTATAGTGTTGCCAGTTTTTACTGGCAATAGTGAAGATGTAATTTTAAATAATTGTAAATGATAATAACATGTTTGTATACAAATCCTTTGGCACATTTCTGATTATTTTTTTAGAGAGGATTCTTAGTGGTACTGAGGCTCAACATATTACCACATGGAAAATATTTGTAGAAATAGTGTTTTCATATTTGCATTAGGTGCTGCTTTTTAAAACTGGAGGTCAGTATTTGGTAAGTTGCTTGGTGATCTTCTGGTCCAATGTATAATTGAAATCAGTTTGAATATGGTAGGTCTCTAAAGGAATTGGAGAGACATGAAAAATGAAGGCATATATTATACATTATATCACATGTACATTATGTGTTCCTATGTATCGTGGAGTTTAAAGCTTAGAAGATTTTTATTTTTTTTTTTTTATTTATTTTTTTTATTTTATTTATTTATTTATTTTTTTAAAGATTTTATTTATTTTATTTTTTCCCCCCAAAGCCCCAGTAGATAGTTGTATGTCATAACTGCACATCCTTCTAGTTGCTGTATGTGGGACCCGGCCCCAGGATGAATGGAGAAGTGGTGCCTCGATGCGCACCCGGGATCCGAACCCGGGCCACCAGCATTGCAGCGCGCGCACTTAACCACCAAGCCACAGGGCCGGCCCTAAAGCTTAGAAGATTTTTAAAGCTTAGGGAATTATCTTGTCTAAATCTCCTTTTACAAAACATCAGTGGAGTCCCCAGAGATTGTTGACTTTATGACAATCACAGAGTATTTCTTAAAAAAATACATAAGTAACCATACATCAAATTAGTGATTAAAAACTACCTAGGTAACTTTGCAAGACAATAGAAAATGACTTTACGATTTCTTTCTATTCAATCCCTGTTCAGTAAGTGGCAAGTTAAATTTTAAAAAATGGAGTGCACTCATTTATTAATGAAAGGCTTCTAGAATGGAGTAGTCTGTATTTCCTGTCTCCTGTTCCCTACCTCACATTCATACTGCTTCCTGCTGTAGTATGAGTACTCAGTCTTCCTACCTCATTCCACTGAAACGGCTCATGTTAAAGTCTTTTTCATTAGATACATTTCAGTTGTTAACCAACTTGATTGTTATGTTTCACTGGAAAGATAGACCACACCTTCCTTCTTGAAACATACTTTTGTTTTGATTTATCTCAAACCACTTTTAGGTCATCTTCTTAACTTTTTTCTTTTCAATTTCCACCTTGGGCTTCTGTCCTTTGTCCACTTTTTCAGTCTCTTTTTCAGGGTTCCTTCTTTGGTCCTATTCTTTTCTGACTATGATTTCCCTGACAGTCCCATCATGCCCCTTGCTTAAATTACCATCATATGTAGATGACAAAGTCTGTTTTTCACAGAGGTACCTCCTTCTTTTTGTGTCCAAAACAGAAATCTGTCTTCTTCCCAACTGGCTCCTTTTTGCCCTTACCTAACTAAATGGCATCACCTTCTTAATCATAGATGTTCAAAATTGGATTCTCCTCCTTCTGAGCTACTATATTTAACAACCAAAACTGCCTTGAAAAGTTCTATGTACGTCTTAAATCTGTACGTCTCACCCTTGCTGTAGCCTTAACACCAGTCCTTATTGTTTCTTGTCTGGAGTATTAAGGTATTCTCATAAAATTGGTCTTCCTTGCATTGCTTTTACCTTCCCCGTTACCAATTCATTCTCTATTCTGTGGTCAGAGTTACTCAGACTTCTCCAGGCAAAATGAATCATTCTTGCCTCTGCTTCCTCTGTGTTGCCATAATACTTAGAGCATTTGAAAGTTAATATTTTAGTTCTCAAAACTGAATAGGCCTTGAAACAGACATGCAGAAGAAACTAGTGCTTAGTTAAGCAAAGTTATTTGGATTTTCCTTGGTTTGTTTTTGTTTTCTGATTAGTGCTTTAAAATTATCTTATAAAGCAGCAGGCAGAATATTCAGTGGGAAGGACATATTTAAAAGGCAGATATTCTGTAATCTTTTGACAGTATTAGCAGAGAGTGAATGATTCTTGTATAAACATTTCATTAAGCTGATACATAAAAACAGACAAAAATAAAATGTTTGTTATGAATTTCTAGAGTGGGGAGAGGTACCATAAGAGGCAAATTTTATAATTCACTTATTTTTCAGTGAGTTTAGTCTAAGTAAAATATTTATCTAAGATCTATTAATTTATTTAACAAATATTTATTGAATGCTTACTGTGTACCTCTTTGGGAATAAGGCAAGACCCTGATCTCATGAAGCTTACACTTTAGTTGGAGAAACGACATAAATAAAATATAAGGTAGTTATGAATACTATGAAGAAAATGAAGAGGGTTGATGTACTAGAGCGCGTAAGGGCCTACTTTAGACCTTTGTAAGGAGATGGTATTTAAGCTGGGATCTGATTGGGAAGAGAGAGCCTCATGCCCATCTGGGTGGGAAATCATGACGTGAAGACAGAACAGCTAGCGTGAGGGCATTGAGGCGGCCGTAGTCTTGGGTTGTTGTTGGAGCACAGAAAGAGGGAAAGTAGGAGAAAACTAGGTTGCAGAGGCAGGCAGGAGCCACATCACAAGGGGCCTTGAGGGCTGCCATAGGGAGTTGGAATGTTTTAAGCTAGATGTAACATGATCTTATTTATATTTTAAGATGAGCAACTCTGCTTGCTGTGTGAAGCGTGGATTGTAGGGAGTCAAGAGTGGAAACAGACTAGTTCATAGACTATTGCAACAGTCTGGACGAGATAAGATGGTGGTTGGTGGTAGTGGTAAACGTGGTGAGAATTTGCATTAGGTTATATGTTGAAGGGTCTTGATGAGCAATTAGATGATGAGGGTGGGGAAGAAATGGAATTCTAAGAAATTAAAATGTCTATCAAAGTGATAGTTTTATCACTACAGTTATTTAAACACAGTCGGTTTTACTTTGAGTTCAGAAATGGAAGAGAGATTCATTGGTGTGTTTGTCTTAACTGTTTTTGCAAAAAGTGGGTCAAAGGATGAAAAATTTGAACTTTGTTTCTCTTTACTTTTCTGGAAAAGTGTTAAACCGTTAGAATTAGCAACTTTTACAATATTGCATTATGGATTAGTTTTTAAAATAATGCGTGAATGATTAACCAAATGTATTTTCCCTCAGATTAATGTCCTTCAATCAAAAAGGAGATCAGAAATCCTAAAATCAGTAAGATATTTATCGAAATGATATTTTAAATATTTTAATATGAAACTAAACGTACATATTTAAGTGTTTAAAGCAACATGATGTATATATGTGTGAATAAAAATATAGATGTGTATATATATTTATTTCTTTCAGGTTCATAATTAATCTTCTTATTGTATTTCTTTTTTTTTTTCTTTTTTTGTGAGGAAGATCGGCCCTGAGCTAACATCCATGCCATTCCTCTTTTTTTCTTGTTTTGTTGAGGAAGACCGGCCCTGAGCTAACATCCATTGCCAGTCCTCCTCCTTTTTTTCCCCTTTTTCTCCCCAAAGCCCCAGTAGATAGTTGTACGTTATAGTTGCACATCCTTCTAGTTGTTGTATGTGGGACGCCGCCTCAGCATGGCCTGACAAGCAGTGGCTCGGTGCGCACCTGGGATCCGAACCGGGCCGCCAGTTGCGGAGCGTGTGCACTTAACCCCTAAGCCATGGGGCTGGCCCCCCTTATTATACTTCTTATGTGTCTCTTAACCACTTTTTTGTCTCCTTCATGTTATAGTTATTTATGTGTGTCTCATGTATTAATACACTGTGAGCTCCTTAAAGTAGACATTTAAATATTGGAGATTGAGGACATACATAAATAGTATCATTTAGAGAATTTTTCCCTTAGGGTTGTTGATGATGTATCAGCCTTTTGGTTTACTTTTTGGTGTGCAGTTAGAAAACAAATGGGATGAAATATGAGGATCACTTTTATTTCTTAAGCCTCTACACCCATAGTGACAGTGATTTTTTTTTTTTTCTTTTTTTTGGCCAATTTTTTTGTCTTAAAGCTAACAAGGAAGTGGGCAGGGGATGGCAGTGGTATGGCATTACATTCTTTCATATTTTGAGAACCTTAGAAATAATTTCTCCTCTCTGACTTTGTTCACTGAAGTTGTTGTTATTTTTTTCTGAAAGAGTGTACTTAAATTGCTTTTGATCCTTGTTTCCACCTAGCTTTTTCCTAAATTCTATGTTTATGTTATTTCTTATCAGATAAGTACATTGTACTTCATGTTTACTCCCACCTCCTTTTCACGATTGAGAGTAATGTGTGTTAAATTGGAAAAGAAAATGTATGAAGAAAAAAATTAAAATGTTTATAAATCCTACTACCAAGGGAAAACCACTATTAATATCTTGGTGTATATTTTCATCTTTTTACTCTCTTTCTCTGTGTGTATATATGTATGTATGTAAACGTGAACATGCATATGTGCCTTTTAAAATTGCATTTAATTTTTTTAAACAAAATAGGAATCATTTCTACATGCTGTTTATAACTTTCTTTTTTCACTAATATACTCCAAAATCATCATATGTCATTAAATATTTTTTTATTGATGTCTTAATAGTTTATAACTGTGAAATTTTGGTTGTATATTTTTGTTTGTCGATCACCATATACATATCTCCCTTCACCCCTTGTGCCCACCCCCTACCCCTGTTGCCCCTGGTAACCACAATACGATTTTCTCTGTCCATGTGTTGGTTTATATTCCACCGTATGAGTGAGGTCATACGGTGTTTGTCTTCCTCTTTCTGGCTTATTTCACTTAACATAATACCTCCAGGTCTATCCATGTTGTTGCAAATGAGATGATTTTGTCTTTTTTTATGTCATTAAATATTTTTTATTTAATGATGACTTTTGTGACCGGGTAGAACTCTACCATGTGAATATACTAGGGGTGGGCGAACTTTTTTGAAGGACCAGGTAGTAAATATGTTAGGTTTTGTGGGCCATATGGTCTGTGTTGAAACTACTCAACTATGCTGTTATTATGTGAAAGCCATAAACAATGTGTAAATGAATGGCTTGGCTGTGTTCCAATAAAACTTTTTTTATAGACATGGGAATTTGAATTTCATATAATTTTCATGTGTCATAAATTTCATGTGTCTTTATTTTCTTTCAACCTTTTCACAATGCAAAAGCCATTGTTAGCTCATATGCCATCCAAAAACAGGTGGTGCACTGGATATAGTTTGCTAGTCGTAGGTTGCTGACCTTGAACATACCATAGGTTAACTTCACCTATTAATGGATTTTTAATTTCCTTGTTTTTGACATTAAAGCATAGCATTATAGTGATCATTCTAATGAATAATATGATTGTTTCCTTAGGATAGATTAAGACAAGAGATTCCTTAGTCATAGGGTTTAAGCAATTATTAAGATTTTAAAAAAATATTGTCAAATTTAAAGGGTTACACAACATTTCCACTAATAGTGTGTGAGTGAACATTTTTCCACATTTTACTAACACTGGGTATTAGTTTCCCCCACTCTACCCACAATTTGATAGATAGAGAATATGATCTCATTGTTTAGTTTTGCATTTCTTTAATACAAATGAATTTGAACATTTTTTTCCATATTGTCCACTTGTGTTCCTTATTTATGTTCTTTGTCTCTTTTTCTGTTGGAGTATTCATCTTTTTCATACTGATTTGTAACCTCTTACGTATTAAAACTCTTAACCCTCTGTCATGTATTTTTTCCCAGTTGATAATTTATCTGTTTTTAAAATGTATATTACATCCTTTATTTTATGTCAGATTATGAGGAATTTACATTTTTATTATTATTATTTCTTTTGCTTGAGGAAGATTGTCCCCAAGTTAACATCTGTGCCAGTCTTCCTCTATTTTGTATGTGGGATGCTGCCACAGCATGGCTTGATGAACGATGTGTAGGTCTGCGCCTGGGATCCGAACCCATGAACCCTGGGCTGCCGGCACGAACTTAACCACTATGCCACCAGGCTGGCCCTTCATTTATCTTTTAATATGATTATTATGTGTTTTGATCTGCAGGCATATTTTACATTTTTATATAGTCGTAGCTATTAATCTGCCCCCTTTTATATAATCCAGTGTTTTTTATTATATTGCAAAGTTTCACAACCTCCGTTATCTAATTCCAGAATAATCTTTTAGTGAGCTTTGTCTTTTTGTCTTTGTGTTTTATTGAATTGGTTTTTCTCTTCAAAATAAAAATTATTTTGAAGGATGCTTGAGTATTAAAATAGGACTTTGTGACCTATTTTAGGTTTCAAAGAATTAAAGAGATGCCTCTTCTTGCTAAAAATAGCATAGATGTTTGGAGGATTCTTTCAGTATTGTGATTGAATTATTTAATTCTTTTTCATGTAACAACTAATAAAAATAAGGGTGACTTTTCTCTCATGAACAGGTAAAATATAGGAAAACTTGGAAAAATTCTCAATCCGTTAGTGGCATTTTTGAGTTTTTGGCGTGAATATAAAGAAACTTCCATGTTGGCAAAGTCTGTTGACTCATTTTATTTTGGTATCTTGAGGAAAAAATGAGCGTTCCCTTACTTTGAGTTGTTCTTAATGATCTAATAGGTTGTAAAGTGTTTGTGATTGTTTTATTTTGAGAGCTTCATATTTCCCCTTCTAATCTTTTAATGTCTTATTTGCAATTTAAGGTTTTGCCGATGAGTTTGGTTGAAAGGCACATAGATATTTTATAAAGTACCTAGCAAGATGGTGAAGCTATTGAAAATTTGATTCTTTGAATTATTACTATGTAAATTTTGATCATCTGGATATAATCTTAACAGCTAAAATTTGGGGCATTGTTAAAATTTTAAACCACTTGGAAATTTCTTTTAAATAAAATTTATTCTCATATTTGTGAATATTTCTGAAATAATTCTTTTAAGAAAAATGACAGTTTAATTTTAAATAGATTTGATATTTTGTGCTCTTGTGGAATAATTTTTAAACATTATCTAGGATCAGCATTTTAAAAAATGTCTTTGAGTTGATTTTAAAATGTGAATCTTTTTTTCTCTTATTAGATGTTATCCTTCATGTATGCCCATTTGGCCTTTTTTCATCAAGGATATGATCTGTTTAGTGAACTTGGACCCTACATGAAGGATCTTGGTGCACAGGTAATGTTGTACTGTACTTGATTCTGTGTTATACACGGATATCTGTATTTTGTTTATTGAGACATAATTGACATATACTCGTTTCAGGTGTACAAAATAATGATTCGATATATGTATATATTGGGAAATGCTTACCACAATAAGTCTAGTTAATATCCATCACCCCACTTAGTTACATATTTTTTTTTCTTGTGATGAGAACTTTTAAGATCTACTCTCTTAGCAACTTTCAAATATACAATACAATATTATTAACTGTAGTCACCATGCTGTACATTACATCCACAGGACTTACTTATTTTATAACTGAAAGTTTGTGCCTTTTGACCCCCTTCACCCATTTTGCCCATCCCCCACCCCCTGCCTCTGGTACCCTTCAGTCTGTTCTCTGTATCTATAAGTTTGGTTTTTTTTTTGGATTCCACAGATCAGTGAGATATACAGTATTTGTCTTTCTCTGTCTCATTTATTTCACTTAGCATAATGTCCTCAAGGCGCATCCATGTTATTGCAAAAGGCAGGATTTTCTTCTTTTTATGGCTGTATAATATTCCATCATGTATATATACCACATTTTCTTTATCCATTGATCTGTTGATGGACAATTAGATTGTTTTCATGTTTTGGCTGTTGTAAATAATGCTGCAATGAACATGAGGATGCAGATATCTTTTGGAGTTGGTGTCTTTGTTTCTCTCAGATAAATACCCAGAAGTGGAATTGCTGGACTGTATGGTAGTTCTATTTTTGATTTTTTGAGGAACCTACTCTTTTCCATAGTGGCTGCACCAATTTGCATTCCCACCAACAGTGCACAAGGGTTACCTTTTCTCCACATCCTTGCTAGCACTTGTTATCTCTTATCTTTTTGATGATAGCCATTTTAATAGGTATGAAGCGAGATATCTCATTGTAGTTTTAATTTACATATTCTTGATGATTTGTGACGACGAGCACCTTTTCATGTAGCTGTGTATTGGCCATCTGTATGTCTTTTGTGGAAAAATGTCTCTTCAGATCCTCTACCCATTTTTTAATCAGATTATTTGTTTTTTCACTATTGAGTTCTATGAGTTCTTTATATATTTTGGATGTTAACCCCTCATACTTGATTTGCAAATATTTTCATTCATTCAGTAGGTTATGTTTTCATTTTGTTGATAGTTTCCTTTGCTGTGCAGAAGCTCTTTAGTTTGATGTTGTCCCACTTGTTTATTTTTGCTTTTGTTGCCTTTGCTCTGATATCGGTATTTTTAAAGAAATTTAGCATATTGGGAAATTTAACATTTCATTTATTTAGTGAAGAAGTTTGATGCTACAGCAGATTTATAAATGGGTTAAATGTATAACCAAAAAGGAGATTAAATTAAAAATATGTTACAGATAGGATGTGAAGGTACTGAAAAGGAGAATTCAAAAACAGTGTCTGTTTTACCGTATGCATAGCTGGATTTATTTTTTAATTTCTTACATTTGGATAAATTGAGTTACTGTCATAAGTGGTTTTTCATTTGAGTTATAACTCTTTTTATTTGCAAAAAAGTTTGTATTTTGCTCTTTTGAATAATAAAATTTTAGAAGCTTAAGATTATAGAACTCTTGGAAACATTTTCATTTTATACACACATACACAGGCGTGAATTATACATATATAAGAATGTTATATAGGAATTTCATTATGTTCAGATTTATTTTGATATCTGATCAGAACTTTATATTAGATCTGTTCTAGAACATTTTTTAATTTGATTGATGAGCTTTCTGGATTCAATACTATCAATTTTTTGGTGATTTTCTTTCCCAAAATGGTTCAGGTTACGTTTTGAAGAGAGAGGATTAAGAATGAAAAATAGATTTAGGGAAATGGGAAAAAGGTAAGAGCTGAATGAGAATTGCATTCATTGACCAAAAATAAATATGATACATACGTGTGTGTGTGTGTGTGTGTGTGTGTGTGTGTGTGTCTTGGGATGGTATGGGAGAGGGATGGTGTGCAGGGCGTATGCCATGAATTACAGTGATACTGTTCGTTGCCTCTACAGAACTTAATCTATTGGAAGAAACTGACGAGTCACTAGACTATGCAGACTGTGCTGAGTGCCCTGTCTGGGTATATAAATTGAGATTAGGTTTGTTTGCATATGATAGAAGACTGAAAATAGTAGTAGCTTCATTTTTCTCCTGTGTAAGTCACAGGCCTGGTATGGTGGTTGCTTGATCTACAGGGACCCAGGCTTATTATATCTTTTGATTCTACCTCATGGTTCAAAGTGGCTGATCAGTCTTTACCCATCATACCCAAATTCCAGCCAATAGGAAGAAGGAAAGGGGTAAGAAAGTTGCATTCTCTCTCTTTAAGGATATTTCCTGGAAATTGTATATACCACGTCTGCTTACACCCCAGTGTCACACTAGCTGCAAGGAAAGCTGGGAAATAATAGAGTTAATGCCAATAGCCATGTGACGTACCAGAATTTGGGGGTTCTATTGTTAAGAAAGGAGGAGAGAATGGATACTGAGGGACAACTAGCTGTCTCTACCACATAGTGGAGGATCAAAGTGTTATAGGAACATATAGATAGGACATCTAACCCGGACTTGGGAGGAAGCAAGACCTTACTATGCTCTAGGCACCCCCCACATCCTATCAAACATTAGATTCCACCCTCATCTTTCATTAAGTATAATTTATTAAAAAAATGAGTTAGATTGTAATTGACTAGTTTAAATAATTGTATATGTTAGACATTTATTAAGTTTAGTTTTGCAGTTTTCCCCCTCCCACATCTTAAATAATTTTACAAGTCCTTGAAAAGCATCTGAGCCCCAGTGCCTATAGTGCCTTGTGGATAATATGGCCTGGTTGGAGGTGGCCAGTTAGGATATTCTTTCAGTAATTCAGTTATGAGATAACGGCATCTGCAATTAGGGTTGTAGCAGTAGGGATGGAGACAAATAGATAGACTTGAGGGATATTTAAGATATAGCCAATTTGAGGGTGGAGGGACTTGATGAGTTCAGGTTTGTGTGTGTTGATTTTTGAGAATAGGACATGTAAGTGGATATATCTGGAGCTCAAGGGAAGAATATTGACAAAAGGAGTCAACAGCATTTAATTGCTATTTGCAGCCACTAGAGTGAGTGAATTGACCAAAGAACAGTTAATAGGTATCTCAAAATCCTGGAGCTATTTGAAAAAAATTTAAGTGCCAGAATACCATGCCTAAAGATTTTGATTTTGTAAGTTAAGGTCAAGGTATAGAGTAAAAAGAGACTCTGACTTGGGAAAGGGCCCTAAGAACGACAACTTTTAAGAGATGGCTAGGTAAGAGGAGCTCCCTGAAAACATCGATGAGAGAGGAGGTGGAAAACCTGGGAGACTGTGGTAGCACAGGCCAAGGAAAGAGTGTCTCAAAAACGAGGGGGTGGTTGTCAGTATAAGTACTGGAAAGAAGGTCAAGTAAACCTAGGACTGAGAACTACCTATTGGATTTAGCATCAAGAAGGTTATTTGTTACCTCTGTTAGAGTTGAGGTTCCGAGCGACAGAAGCTAAAATTACAGTGGGTAGATGAATATGAAATGAGCAAGTGGAGAACAGGGAAGAATTTTCAAGAAGTTGTGTTGTGAAGGAAAGAGAGAGAGAAGGTGGTAGGTAGAGAGGAATATGGATTGGAGGAAGGTTTTATTGAAGGTAGTATGATTTGCACAAATTTAAAGGCAGATGGGAATGGGAGAAGTTGAAAAGCAGAAAGAGAAGTGATGGTACTTGAGATGGTGGGAGTGGAAGGGATTCAGAGCACAGGTAGAGGATTGGAGGCACCTGACTATTTACAGGAGCCTGTTAAACACATAACTGAGAAACAGGGGACACTTCTGCTGTGCTCCAAACTCCCTGATACAGTCCCCAGCCTCTAGGAGATAAGACTGCCAGTCTTCACATCTCCCCAACTCATACCTCCCCCAACCCTCCACCATGTTGAATGATATTTTTTCTTTATGCCTCTGCCCCAACAGAGAGAGGGGAGTTTCCCCCTTTCTGCTGCAATAGCAGTGGGGTGGGATGCGGCAGAGGAATTGACTACCAGTTTGACTGGCAGAAAACCATCATTTGCATTGCAGTGCTGGTGTGGAAGGTACATGCGCTCAGGTTTATAAATATTAGTTTGAATCTTGGGTGCTGCCTTGTACTGCACTTCAGTCTGAATGAATGAATAGTGTTTATATGCCATTCAATTAAAGGCTATAAAACCATGGTATAATGGTTATTCCACTCATTCAGTATAAGAAACTATTGAGGACAAACATTTTTCTAGTGCAGCATATACCAGCATTACCCATTAAATCTGTCACCAAGATATGTATGTATTAGATCCTAAAGTGGAGTAGTGTAGTTGCCATCAAAATCACATATTTTATAATAGTGATACTGGTTCTGTTTCAGTGTTTTCTTTTTTTTTTTATTACTCTTCAGTGATATTAAGATTCTGTGGCTAGAATTATTCTCCCATAGAAAAAAACATCCTTTGTGATAGTGAATAAGGGGTCAAATAGTTGTTGTTGTTGTTTTGAGGAAGATTGGCCCTGAGCTAACACCTGTTGTCAATCTTCCTGTTTTTATTTTTTCTCCCCCAAGCCCCAGTACATAGTTGTATATACTAGTTGTAGGTCCTTCTCGTTCTTCTATATGGGACGCCGCCTCAGCGTGGCTTGATGAGCGGTGAGTAGGTGTGAACCCCGGGCCACCGAATTGGAAGGCGCAACTTGAACCACTATGCCACTGGCCCCTCAAATAGTTTTTTAAGAAGGCTTTTGCAATTTAGTTTTTAAAGGATATCAATTCAAACATGGGGACATTTAATACTTTATCTTCCTCTATATTCCTGTTGATATTTACATTTGCATTTATTCCTTTATCACACATTTATCAGTTAGAGGTGATGGGGCTTCAAAGACGAAACGACATACATCACTGTCTAGAAGAGTAGACCCATATAATGGAATATTTTATAATTCAACTGTTTGTTATTTCAGCAAAGAGGAGTTCAAGAAGCCAGTGCATTTGTCATAATGTTGGAAATCAGATACTTCTCTTCTGATGGACAATCATCTTTTCTGATGGAAAAGAACAAGAAAGAAATGGGATTTTATGGTTTCATAAATTTTTTGAGGTTTTAAAAAAGAACATTAAAAATTGGTGATTTTATACGCTGGTTTTATGAATGATTGCTGAAGTGCAATTTATGAGTGAAGTGCTGAAATTGCACTTGCATTTCTATTATTATTATTTTTAGCTTTCTCTTTTATCTGGTGAATTATATTTTCTACATTTTAGATTTGATTATAACATTAGGAAGCCAACTTGAAAACGTGAAGCATCTTGAGTGATTGGAAGTGTCTGTTTCGTTGAACTTGTGAGAGCTGGCCTGTGCTAGCTTAGCTGCTACTTTTTGCCGTTTGGGAAAAAAAATCACCAATCTATATTCTTTGTATCTTTGATTGTGACTACCAGAATTGCTGAGTGGGTCAGCAGGAAACTTAAGCTAGTCATTTTCCTTATTCAAGGAATGAACATGGCACTCTTGTGCCCTTGACAAGGCCTCCTGTCACATTTGCTTGGCGCCATGACTGCTCTTAGAAACGTTTTCCCTGGAGGAGTTATAGACATTCTCAAAGAAGATTTGATACCAGAAAAAAAAAAGAACTTCCACTTTATTTATTTATTTAAATATTTATTTATGTATTTAGTGTGTGTGTGTGTGTGCACGCGTGCGCATGGAAGATCAGCCCTGAGCTAACATCCATGCCAATCCTCCTCTTTTTGCTGAGGGAAGACTGGCCCTGAGCTAACATCCGTGCCGATCGTCCTCCACTTTATATGGGACGCTGCCACAGCATGGCCTGACAAGCGGTGTGTCGGTGCGTGCCTGGGATCTGAACCCGGGCCACCAGCAGTGGAGCGCGCGCACTTAACCACTTGGCCATGGGGCCGGCCCCAGAACTTCCACTTTAAAGTTGTAGCCAAAATGCCTTTTTAAGTAAACTTAAATTGACTCACTTATGGGGAATATGATTTAAAAAAATAATCATACCTTTTTTAAAAAGAGTTTTAAATCTGTATAATTTTCTTTTTTTCCCTTTTATAGTTGGATCGACTGGTTGTGGATGCAGCAAAGGAGAAAAGAGAGATGGAGCAAAAACATTCCACCATTCAGCAAAAGGTACTGGAGGGGAAAAGTTAAAGGAGATTAATTCCCGTTTTACGCAACTGTTTGATTATTGGTTTCAGCAAGATACCATTGTGTTGGAACAAATCCTTTGAGTTGCTTTAATAATTAAATTGTTCAGATAAATTCCTCCTTTTTTTGTGAAAAGTAAGATATTTTCAGATGTTCAGGCGTGCATTTTATTATTCTTTTACATCAAAATATTTGAAAGCCATGCTCTCGAACCAGTTTATAAAAACACCAATCTCTTAGGGCCTTAACTAATTTAAAAAGTGGCCCTTAGTTGGTGTTTAAAACACTATTCATAGTTTCAGTTAGGATAATCCACCAACCCCTGTAAAAGTGTGTGTGTGAGAGAGATAGAGGGAGAGAGGGAGGGAGGGAGAAGGGATGAGTGGGTGGAAGGGCATAGGGAAGGGGGTGGTGGAGCATCAATGTGTGTGTTTGGTATTATGGACTTTCTAGTTGCAGTCACTCCAAGGCTGCACTCCTCCTCTCTCATGTGATGCTGAAATTGCACTTGCATTTCTTGTTAATTTGCCTAAGCCTAGCTAAACTCATATTTGAAAAATGTATTTTTAAAAATGAAAATTTAAATATGAAACCAGTCTTTATTTTTGCATGCTAAAAGCTTTGAATATGACATACCTGAAACTCAGCCTAATAGTATTTTATCCTATATTGTCAGTGATATCTTTTGTGAGGTAATCTGAAAATAGGAGGAGAGAATTGGAGGTTGAATGTAATAATACAAGTATGTGACAAGATGTCTTCTATACTTACCTGGCAGGGGAGACACCATGGTCATGAAGGTGGTTTTCCCAGGGCGAGGCTTATCCATTGCACTCTGGATGTGCTGCCCTGCGATTTCCCCAAATGTGGGAAACTTGACTGCATAATTTGTGGTAGAGGTGGACTGCATTTGTTTGTACTTTCCCCTACAAAGAAAAAAAAAGATGCCTTCTAGCATTGCTTTAAGAAATCTGTTGCTTGGTATTGAGCAGTCAAATCAACTTTTGTTGTGGTTTATTTAGAATTTAAAATACTAGTAAACTAGATCTGACATAGAAGATGTCAGTGGAAAAAAATGAAAGTAAGTAATAAAAGTAAGGAAAATTTTATTGGTTATGAGTTATTAATAGTCAAAGAGAAACATTATTTAAAAAGGGAAATATTTGCTGCCAGACCATCTTTAAATTAGTTACTTCTAGTTATAGTCAGGTAAGACTAACTTCGTGTTTTGTTTTGTTTAAAATCAGAATCACTTTTGGTTGAGTAACTTGTTTTAATGACATTACCATGGAAAGATTGTTAAAACTTGGGACCAATCATTTCTAATAAAAATGAGAGTTCATGATACTTGTAGAAATATGTGACTGTTTGCTTAAACTGAATTATTTAATGAGTATTATGTGTCTTTTAATATCGTTCCCTATTGTATACATAGCTCAATGTTCTACTGAATATCCAGAAGTAGTAGATTATTAAATCTAAGATTAATTTATTTGATTTTAAATAATAGTCATTTACTGTATTCCTTTAAAGAAAGTGATGCTATTTTTGCTCATTATGAATACTTACCTTTTTTCTGCCCTTAAATGCTGACACAAGGCTGCATTACAGGTAAAAAAAAAAGACAGACAAAGATCGAGTCACTAAAAATTAAGGGAATGTGTGTCTAGTATAATTATTTAGATTTTTCAAGAATTGAAATTGATCTGTTGAAGAAACATTGGTGCTTTATGCACATTCATGTACATGCCTTTTGGATGTGTGCACACCTTCCTGATGGATTTATACCCAGGAGTAAAACCGCTGTTATCAGAAGGTGTATATATGTTCAGTGGTAGTAGATAATTTAAAATTTTTTTTCAAAATATTGTCCCATTCCTGGCAGGCAGCACTGTGTGAGAATTCCCATTGCTCCTTGCCACTTCATTGTATGATGAGGGTTTTTAATTTTTGCCAGTTTTGGTGAGTAGATATTGACATCTCAATGTGGTTTTAATTTGTACTTTAGTCACTAATGAGCTCTGTCACCTTCCCCTTTGTCTGTTGGTCATTTGAATATCCTGTTTGTAAATGTCTGTTAGTCTTTCTCCCACTTTTCCAACAGGTTCCCTACCTGTTGATGTGATTCTTCATAATTCTAGATATAAGTCCCTTTTTGGGGTTTGTGTATTTTTAATTTTCACATAGTTTTTTTAATATGTCTTTTATGTTTGGTACTTAGTGTGTCTTGTTTGATAAATCCATCCCAAACCAAGATCATGTATATCTCCTATATAATCTTCTAACTGTTTATAGATTTGCCTTTTGTGTTTACATCTTCAGTCCGTCTGTAATTGGGTTTTTATGTGTGCTCTGAGGTGGAGATCCAGTTTCCTTTTGTTTTTCATTGGTAGCCAGCTGATACACATCAGTTATTGAAAAGTTTGTTCTTCCCCTGCTACTCTGTTATATCCTCTGTTATGCATCACATTTCCATATATGTGAGGTCTGTTTCAGTCTCTCTGTTCCGTTTCATTGGTCTTTTTGTCTTAACTGTGCCAATACTATGCTGTCTTTATTATTTTAGCTTTAAAGTATATCTTCATATCTGGCAAAGGAAAGCCTCCTTCCTACCTTCTCTTCTTCAAAAGTGAATTGCCTAAATTTTGCATTTCCATATAAATTTCAGGAGCAGCTTTTCAGGTTGCATAAAAATAGCTTTTGGGGTTTTGATTGGGATGGCGTTGGATCTATGAATCATTTGGGGAAGAATTGATATCTTTATTTTATATTTTCTAATCCATGAGCTTGAAATATTTCTCCATTTAAGTTTTTTTTTAAAGTGCTTCGTAAAGTTTGATAATTTTCATGTACATCTGTTTTTAGATTTATTCCTAGACACTTGTGTTGCAAATGTTAGTATAAAAGTTTTCTTTTAAAATTTTCTTTTCTCACTGTTTACTTTTGTTATATATTAGAGTAAAATTGATTTTTCTGTATTGATTTTGTAACCAGTAATCTTGTTAATCTCTTTTTAATACTAATTTATCTCTGGATTCTTTTGGATGTTCTGTGTATAAAGTCATATGGTCTGCAAATAATGATAGTTCGTTTCTTCCTTTCCAATCCTTTCCTTTCTTTTTTGTTTGTTATCTTGCTGGCTGGGCCCTCCAACATAATCTTGAATCAAAGTGGTAATAATGGTCCTTCTTGTCTTGCTTGCAATTTCAAAAGAGAAAGTTTCTGTTCGATTCCCTTCATTGGCCAACTTTGGTCTTGCCTTCTATTCCCTGGGCCCCACACCAAAGCTTCAGGTTCTCCTGATGAGGCAAATGTCCTTATCTCTTTGGCTTCCAGTTTTCACTTAATCTTTTGCCTTTGAGTATTCCATCCTAATTTGTCAACTCGTCAATGTATTTAATACTATATATTTTATCCAACATTATTAGTTGCTTTCATTATGAAATCATATAGTCCGTTACATTTTAAGTACTATAAAATATTAATTGATTTTAGTAGTAATTAAATTGAAGACAGTTTATCTCAAGAAATGTAGTTGAAAATTAGAAAAATACTTAAAATGCACTGCACTTTCAAGGAAGTTTTATGTTTTAAGTAGCATCTGGGTTATTAAAAAACTGTTACAAATGAAACCTTTAGAATCTTGCTAAACTCAATTATATCTGTTGCTGACTTAATCCTGTCAAACAAAATTAAATGTTATAGCTTCAAATAACTTTTAAATAAGAAAATTAAGTTTCCCTGATTTTTCCAAAGAAAAAGTAGGAAGAAATGTAACAATTCATTTACAGATTCTGTTTCATTTGATTATTTTGGATTATCATGTCCTTTTATGGTTAAATTTTGGGACGCCAGGAGAGTTTTGAATTCTGAATTTAGTCTATTTCCTTTTCCCATATTTGTAGACTCTTAGATTTGGAAAGCCCTTAGGTGTTTCTTACTCTGCCTCCCCTCCAGTTCAGGACTGCCCCCCCCCCCCTTCAGGACCCCCCCCCCCCCCCCCCCCTGCCACACAACACACACACACACACACACACACACACACAGCCTCTGCCAAAATCTTTCTCAAGACAGAAAGTTTACTACTCTCTAGTAGGATAGCATTCTAATTTTGATCATTGGTCCAGAAGTAATTTGAAAGTTCTGAGGCTGATTTTTAGAGTTTTAAAATTGAGGATATTAGCAATCTTGCAGTTTTGTTCAAATTACTTTGGAAGTTCATCAGGAAATATTTTAAATACAGGATTTCTCATTTCAAAACTTCATGAATCCTTGGAGGAAAATTGAAAGTTTGAATTGTATTCAAGTGAAAACTAGAATGGTTAGAATGATGAAAGACTATGAGTTATTCCATAGTCCCCAAAAAAAAAACTTAGCTCAGCATGCCCACTTCAAATTGTGATTCTTTTCCTTTGCAAAACTAAATTTTATTTAGGAAGAAAATGCCTTTATCCTATTTCTGAACTCCCAAATGGTGGAGTTACTATTCCTATCAGATTAAAAAACTACCATGATAGGATTATACTTAGAAAATAGTGGTAGATATAAATAATCCCAATTAAATATATTCATATTCTTTTTGTTTTGTTAGCACACACGTCACCATAAAATCTTGGGATAAAATGAAAACATTTTGAACATAACACCATGTATAATATTTAGCTCTTCCCTTTGTCTATTTGTATACATATTATTTTGTGCTTTTAATCACAGTGTATATACAATTTATATTCTGCTTTCTCTTTGAGTATATATAGTTGTCTGTATTTTTATATCATCATAGTAATTGCATAATAGTCCACTGAATTGAAACACGTTAATATGGTGAAGCATTCGTCTATTATTGAACATTTATTTCTCCCCCATCTTATGAATATTGTTGATGTAACTATCTTAATACAAAGCTTTTCTACTATTTGAGCTGTTTCTTTAGGGTAAATTTGTTGTCTAGGGAACTTAGTCAAATCATATGAACTTTTTTAATGTGTTGTTTTGTCTAGGATTTCTCCAGTGATGATTCTAAGTTAGAATATAATGTAGATGCTGCAAATGGCATTGTTATGGAAGGATATCTGTTCAAACGAGCCAGCAATGCCTTCAAAACTTGGAACAGGTAATATATTTCAAATACTAGTCTTGATCTTTCCATATTCACAACTTTATGACTTTTCCTATGATTTGGCAACTCTTTCTTTCATAATTCTCTAAATTCACGGACCATAGTAACTTTCCATTGAAGATAAAATGCCTTCTAGGAAAGGAGACCCTAAGACGCAAGTGAAAAATGACAGCACCAGTTCTAAATTCTAAAATTTAAGCCAAGTTTAAACCAAGAATCAAGGAGAACTCTTATAATGCTTGGTCTATAGTGACTAGACTATTTACCTATTATAATAAGTAAATTTGAATGTGAGTTACCTCTCATATTTGTTATGAAATAGATCTGATTACAAATTATATGTTGAACATAATGGATGAATACGACAAGTGAGCTTTTTTCCCCTCTTGAGTTCCTCCCTTATATCATGTTTATGTACATTTTTACTTAGTGTTTGCTTCTAAGATTATGAATCTTGAGACTAAGTGATCCTGATTTTTTGATCTTTGCAGTAACTTTAACCAGGAGTTTTATGGGATTGGGATTGTTTTTGTGTATAAAGTGTGTATGGCAGCTAGTGCTCCTTTATTCTAAACTTGATGGCTACCAAAACTTTGAATTTTTTTGCTAGACTGATTTTTATGAAATAATAATCCAGTAAATGTCTGTTAAATGAATGAATGTATAAAATATTTTATTGTATTTTCCCATGTAGTAACATAATAAAGTGAAATAATTTCAAACATTAAGGCATTAAAAAAAAGATTGGGTTGTCTCAGGATCATCCTTCTGAATAGCAGTGATTAGTCTTTTATTCAAAGATGCCTCTCTTTTTGCAACAAAAAAAACCCAATTTTGTAATAATTGAGAGTAGTATTGTGTTCTGGTTAATTGATTTACTTTTGTATTATTGGTTGAATGTATATATTTTATTTGCTCCTTGAACAGGATATGAATTCACTTAATGATAGAGAAGATTATTTTCTTTTTTAAAAAACTAGACATTAGCAAAATAAATACAATTTTCTTGGTAAGTTTAATTTAGTATACATTTTTGTTAATTTAAATGGAAATAATTATGTTTGAATATTCAGTATATCAAAATGGATTCCTAGTGTGCTTACTTTGACTTTTCGGTGACGAGGCTGTATAGAAAAAAGATTTACTGATATTTTCAAATATTAGTGATTTATTGGCATTTTATATTGCCTGATATTTAAATGCTACATGGCATGTTTTATTTGAAATAATTTTTCTTTATCTGAGAATGAATATAAACTGCAAAGAATAATGGTTATATTTGATATTAAGCCTCTTTGAGTTATGTAGATCTTTTTTTTTTTTTTTTTGGTGAGGAAGATCAGCCATGTGCTAACATCTGCTAATCCTCCTCTTTTTTTGCTGAGGAAGACTGGCCCTGGGCTAACATCCGTGCCCATCTTCTTCCACTTTATATGGGACGCCACCACAGCATGGCTTCCCAAGTGGTGCGTCAGTGCGCGCCCAGGATCCGAACCGCAGCAGAGCATGCGCACTTAACTGCTAGTGCCACCGGGCCGCCTCGAGTTATGTAGATCTTTTAAAACAATATGTGACTATCAAAGGACCAACTAAGATGGTCTGGTTAGAAATAATGTTTGTAACTATTGTAAAATGAAAGTAAAAAATTAAAATTCCATTTTCTAAGCTGTAAAAATTAAGACAATCATCTTTTAAGCTTTTCCTAGCAAATTTCCATAGCCAGAGTAGGAAATTAAAATAAAAAATAGTGTGATGGTCAAATTTTTATAATAAAGATTTCTCAACCAATGCAGTTTCATGAGGTGATGTTAGAATTGAATTTTAACCTTCAGATTTCAAACAACCTACTTAAAGTTTAACACAGTGAAAACACAATAAATCCATAGAAACTATACCATTATGTTAAGAAGAAGTGAAATGAACTTGCATGGACTACTCCAGTAAGAAATGATCTCAGACTTCAAAATGAAGCACAGTAAGTGTTAGTGGAAAATTACGTTGTATTTAGGGCAATAGAAGAAAATTAATTCTGATTCAAGCATGGACCTTTTCAGTTTTTATTATTTCTTTCACGAATTCTATTAATTGGCATAGATATTAAGATGTAATAACTATTAAGATATTAAGATGTAGGGAATAACTATTACATTCTCAATTGTAGACAGGTTAGCTACCACTTGCAGAGTGAAAAAGATAGTATCTTTGGAAATGGGGCTGCTTTTTAAAGGAGATGCCATCTATATGTGTGGGATGACAGTTACTGATTAGAATCATAGATTGTAGTTCAACACCCTAATTTTTAGTAAAGAAATGGTAGTGCAGAGAGATGGTCACTCGTTCAAGGTCACATAGCTGGTTTGTGACAAGCTTGAGGGTCAAAATCTGGCACTTTTTCTTTGACTTGATATGGAAATTCCAAACAATCTGTCTTTCTATAAAACAAAATACAACTTTATTTAAAAAAAACAGCTTAAAAACCCCTTCCTAGTTCATTTGCATTATTAGGAAAAAATTATACATGGCAAATTAATTTCATTTTCATATGCCTTTAAAGCACATATTGATGAAAACACTAGTAAAAAGTAGACTTGTAGGAATATAGCATATAAGCGTTATATAAAACTCTTCACAAACAAGTCAAAACCTTGTAACAAAAGTCTTAAATACTTTCTAGGTTATGTCAGTAACTATAAAAGGGAGAAGAAAGAGTAATCTATTAAATGTTACTTAGAATTTTCTTCTGCTTTTCAATTTTAAAAATTTGGAATGTATCTGAATTTCTTATATGAAGCTTATCAAAAGTCTAATGTCAGGAAATACAAATAATTTCCCTTTTTCTATTTATGACTTTAAAGTCTGACCTATTTCTCTAGTTCTCTGTCCAGCTTGATTTAATATATCCTACCAGCCTCTGAATACAAGACTGTGTATTTGTGATATTTGTGCCTTAAATTTAAAAACCCAGGAATCCAGCTATTCAAACAGAAAGATTTTTCTGCTCACTAAGTATTTTTTTTTTTTTATTGTTTGTGCATTGGTTTTAGGGATCATTTTTTTTTTGTAGTCACCACAAGGTACCAATCATATAATGACAAATTTTCCATTTTCTATAGTTTTATGAAATAGTAACATATAATATTTTCAAAATCAACTTTTTAAAAAGACCTCCTTCCTGAGGGAAATGTGAATTTAACTAGGAATTCCCAATAGTTTTAAAACCTGACCTTGTGCTTCATAAGTCTAGGTATATCTTGAAAGTATCATTCTGTAATTTAACTGAAGAGATCATATTTTGTATGAGGTGATTGAAACAGCGTAAAGAGTGAAACGTTTTATATCTTATGTGAATTATTGAAGTTGTTTCTGGTTGGTTTCAAATCTCTAGTTTTGTGGTGTCTCTTAAGATTCTTATGTGTCTATAATATATATTTTTCTGAAGATGTGTGAGATCTACAAAGTAACCTTTCTGTATCAGGCCATTTTCTCAGTGCGGCAGCTTCACTACATGTAGGCTCAAATCAGTGCTAGATGGATTATTATTACCTGTATTTCTCTTTTGCTTTTCATGATAAATTCAGAAAAGATGAATGGACAAGGAAAACAGTTAAATATTAATATACTTTACTTAGTAATAAGCTGGTAAAACTAGTAAAGAAGCTGAATAATTACGTGCTATGCTCAGTATTCGTTGAACTAAAAAATATAGCTAAAAGCATAAAATGTATTATACAGTTTCTTTTTTTTTTTTTTTTTTTTTTTTT